CAGATTTAATAACTAAAATTGCCTGTTTAATGTTCATTTTAATGTGGAACATAGAGAATTTCTGGCTGCATTTTGTTGTAGATATTCAAAGGAGGAAAAACATCACTTCACAAGCGTTTAGGTGTTGAAAGGAATTAAGTAACCTGCTCTGCAAATACATAAAAATGAAAAATCTATCCTTGTGCCTTAAAAAAAAATACCAACCCGCAGAAATTATTGAAATATTTATATAACAGTACGTAAACCTGAACAAATGGCTACTGTCACAAAATCAGGGATGACGTCTTCAAGCTTAGGAGTAGCCCGTCTGGTCCAGAAGAATTCAGTCTCAATAACTACAACAGTATGCTGTGTATGTGATTGACCCTTGTGTGACCCTTTGTGATATTATTATGGGCATGAAAATCAATTTCAATTGAGTTTGCTACCAGTTGAGTCAACTGATATATTTAGAAAAGTAATAAGAATTGATAGATATTACAATAACGAAGCAGGTTTTAATATAAATCATGTATCAAAGACCGTTATGTTATAATGCCATCATCAAAATGTTTGGGACTTTAGATTGAAGCTGTGATTTATTAAACTAGGTTTTCTCTTTCCAAGGAGTTTTCTCTTTTTCAGCTTTGTATCTCAAATGCTTTTTTATTAAGAAAAAACACATTACAATAGTTTTTTGGCAGCTCTGCTCCACTGGCTGGGCATAATGAGCAGATCTCTGCATCGCTAACCAAATACTCTCCATTGATTGTGGTAAGGTGGCAGAATGTCCTTGTCAATGGAAACAACTACAGCAATTTCTAACAACAAACAACCCCATGAAGGGTATTGGAGAAGGGGACACAAGGAGACATTTCAGGCTTCTGTTATGTATTTCTGGTTTTGAAATAAGATCACCAGATCATATTTCAAGAAATCCCAAACACTGTGTTAAATCTTTCTGCCTAATGGCCTCCTATCCTCGGAGGGTTGGATTAAAGAGCTTCTTCTGGGCTTCATCTGTGCTGTGGAGTCTGCGGCTTGTTAACACTGTGTGTGTGTGTGTGAGAGAGTGAGTGAGTGCTGGATTAATGTCCATCTTAATCTAATTGATCATTAGGTTCATATTGTTTTGAATTGTTAAAGAGATCAATCTGCCCCATGAGGCGTACACTGATGGAGAGACAACAGGAAGTTAGTCATTTTAGTTTGGCCTACATGACGAACCAACAGTGTAGAGCTGTTTGCAGTTCATGGAGGCAATAAAAACACGGTAGGGCTGCAATTTGCGCCAAAAGTCACACTCCTTCTTGGAGTCATAGCTCATACACTTTCCAGAGGATGTCTTTGTCTTATTTCCATCACAAACAGTCACTCTGTATATTCACTTAGAATTATAGAAAAATATGAAGCTCCTTATTAAGGAAACATATTGCATTCACTTGAAAAAAAAAAATAGTGAGCAATTTATTTTTTTGTTTGTTTTTTTGAATATTTTTTTACGGAGTAATTTTTTCTGTTTTTTGTTGTAATCTTTCCCCCCTGTTTTTCGGAGTAACTTTTTTTCTGAATTATCGAGATACTTCGAACTCCCGCGAAAACATCCAACCTGCAAATGACTCCCATGGACCTATGGTGACTCCTGCCCACACATACATGCCCCATCTTCAACTATCTACCGTACCGGGTCAATTTTGCTATGTGTTGTCAGAAACACCTATGTCTAGTCAATCTGAATGGGCCCTTTCCTCTGAACAACCGCGAAGTCCCAGGTGCCTGCGGTAGAGACGACAAGACAATTTGATGACATACCATCTATATGACTTTAAAGGACAGGGACTATGGCTCCCGAGTGATCTGTGAAACCCAAGATCAAAGTAAAACTTGATTCGAACGGAAACAAGGCCGGGTTATGTTTGTTTCCATTAAATCGAGCTCTCCAATGAAAGACATGAATGCGTCTCATTCGTTGTCAAATGGCTCTCTGAACTCAGAAAAAAAAATCTTGGGGGTTCCGAAAAACAGAAGAGCAAACGACTTACTCCAAAAAACCATCCAAAAATAAACCACTCAGAAAAACACAAATTTTGTAATCTACTCCGAAAAACAAACACTAATACGCTCCGTACCTTATAAACTCCAGACCTGCTAAAACTAGCTTCAGGAGTACTTTTTATTGCTGCCAAATGGTAGAGTAAATATAGGCTAAATAACACTGCCTCAAGTTGTGAATAAATCCATGCGTTAGAAATTATAATCTCTTGTTTACATACTCTAAAGCATCATGGGAGCTGTACCTCCAAACTGTACTTGTGTAGGGCCTGGACTTTGCTCACCTACACCTGTGAAACTGTTAATTATCTTGGTTTCAATAGGTTTGCTCGGAATCCGTAGTTCTCTCCTTATCTATCCACGACTATGTGATAAAGGAGATGTGACAGGTTGCGGGTCTGGCAACAGCTAGTATCACGCTACGATGCCACTAAATACTCGCTCTTAACACACTGACCTTTATGCATCAATAATCTATATTTTATATATTATTAGGGTATGTAACACAGGCATCGA